CCCATGCTCATCCCCATTGCCCCGCAGAACCACGTGCTCTGGGCTCACCTTGGCCTCCACAGCCCCATGCAATCCAGTCCCTGCTCACTCCCATGGCCCCATCCTCTGCTCCCTCCATGCCTGCGGGTCACTGACAGACTCCCCCACCCTGCAGAGAGCGAGAGCACCAGCTCGACACCGTTCCAGCCTTTCTCTCCCTCCCCAGGGCCATACATCAAAGGGAGGGGGTTTCTGTGAAAGCCCCAGCAGAGAGGAGGGAGCGAGCGGTCAGGGTGATGCAGCAGGCAGAGTTCAGCTGCACTTCCCTGCACCTTCCTGGTTTCTCCCTGCCACGTGTGCAGAGGGTCTGCTACTGTGGGAGCTGCTACACAGCCTGCGTGGATCCTCAGCTCAGCAGCAGGGTAGTTGCAGGGTGTCGCAGCAGGCCGGCTAGCAGGAGGCCGGTAGCTCACAGCTGCCGACGCTGTCCCTTAAAGTCGCCTGTCACCATGCTCCGCTGCTCTCCTCTGGCAAGCCTAGTTCATGATGCAGCTCAGAGAGGGATCCACTATGGCACTCGCGTGGGGTGAGACGGGGGCTTCCAGGTCCTGACCTGGCCAAGGGCTCTGTGACAACAATGCCATCCGCCATGAGGCAGGGGCAAGATTAATCACTGCCTAATACTAACGAATGCGATCTGAAGAGCTCTAGAAGGGGAAGCAGATGCACGGGAGAGGGGCTGGACCTGGCTAGCCACAGGCTGGAGAGGGGCCTGTCACTGCCACCCGGGAATCCAGCCAGCAGGAGTGAGCTGCAAGCTCTGACAAAGTTCACGTGGCAGCAGTGTTCGTGGGGCTGCAATCTCTCTGAGCCTCGCAGGAAGGATGCCAGGACCAGGGCTTTCCAGAGCCACTAGCCTTCCTCTGCCTACACTGCTTGCACAGAGCCTGAGCTATTCCTGCGGACAAAGTGCAGCATGAGCCACCGCAAGAAGACACGTGACGCTGGGAGAGACCATGAGCTCTAGGGCCTGCTTCCCACCAGCCTGCACAGTGCTTCTGCATTTCATTACCGTCCTTGAGCATGCAGCCACAGACTCCTCCTTCCCTGGATCCCTGCCTCGATGTGCAGGGCAGGTGGGGGAAGTGGCAGGGGATGGTAAGAAGACAAAGGACATCCTTTTGTGTCAGATACTGGACTAGGACACGGGCCCATGGGATTCTACCTCTGCCTCTGCAAAATCCCCGTGGGTTACTGGGAACAATCCGGGTTAGTGTTGACATGCGCCGGCGCAGCACTGAGGCGACCTGGGCGCCCTCGCGCTGGCACTGCCTCACTGGAGAGCACTTGACTGTAAAAGCTTCTCTGCCTTCTTGTCTGTGTCATAAATATATCATGGGATCAGGTGCTGGAGATGGGGACGGCTGTCAGGCTCCTGTCTCATGGCTGCGATTTTATTGCACGCAGCGAACTGCTGAAATCTAACGATAATTGGGAATTAATAATTCAATTTCTTATAAGCAGGTTTCCTTATGCTTGGAGTGGTGCACTGTCAAGGGCAGTCATTCTTTTAAATGGCACAGAGTGAAATATTTAGTGTTCTCTGCTAATTAAAGAGTCCACCATTTAGTGCATGAAACAAACTGATTTCAAAATAATCCCGTTATTCGTGTGTAATAATTAAATGTTATTGCAACTGACCTGCCCATTGGTCAAGTCTTTGCTCCACTTCTTGGACATGGGGCTGGCAGTCATTAATAAGGACCCTAGGAGCTGCCCGGTGCCCCCTGCTCCAGCTCCCCGGGTAGGCACCTAAGGAGGGGAGTGGTTTGGTAAAGGAAGCACCAGGCTCTTTGTGCCTCCCTGGGAGGTGGTGGGGAGGGGGTCGCTGCTGCAGGGGAAGTAGAGGGGACACCCTGGGCATCAAGTGTTGCCCTCCACCTGAGTGTTTGCATTGCTGTCAAGTGTCTTGCTAATTCTCCAAATCTGTTTATTAATCTGAAGTGATTCTTACCAGCCTCCGGGGAATACGACATCCTCATGTCATGTGGTGTCAGTAATTAAACGTGACTAAGTGGTTCTAGGGAAGTAAGGTTGGCAGCCCCCTCTCCTGCCCCCCTCCCCCGCAAAGTCTGCACTTGGGTTTCTGCTTCCAGCTGCGTGTTCACACCTCTCCTGTATGCACACGCACGCAGTCCTCGCAGGGCAGACACCCCATAACAACACTGAGCACAATGGCAAAGGGCTTCCTGAGAGCCCAGGATGAATGGGCACTGGGTCTCATCAGCCACTGGATTCCCAGCTAAAACGGCATTTCTCCTTCTCTGAAACCCAGCAGAAGGTGGCAGATGGGCCTCAGCATCATGTCCAGGGAGAGCATATAAAATGATTATATGCTCCTCAGGCAGGATTGGAGAATAGGCCTGATGCCCGGAGGGCACCGTGCTCCTCCCAGCTCCAGCAGCCGCCCCAGGGGCATGGGGATGCACCTGGCCAGTCACTGGGGCAGCAGGGGCCTGAGGGTGGAGAAAGGGCCAGTGTCTGCCCACAGCCTGCTCAGCATTTCCCTCCCAGCTGGCCACCCCCTTGCCAGGTGCTGCTGTCCCTTAGGGCCTGTCTTGGGGTTTTACTGCTTGCTGAGAGGCCAAGGCCAGCCAGCTCCAATGCCGGTGAGCAGGGTGAGCAGGTCATCGAAATCATAGAGTACTCTGTTGGACTGGAAGGGACCTCCATCTACTCCAATTCCCTGCCTGTGGCAGGATCATCCCTGTCCAAACCATCCTGCACAATCCATTGTCTAGCCTCTTAGTAAAATTACTGTCAACCCTGACACAACACAGATATCACACCTGAACCTGCCCCAGGTAAAGCAGGGGAACCATGGCAGCCGCTGTAAAAAGTTGTCAAAATATGCTCCAGAGATCCCAGGTAGAGATCTCCCGCGACAGAGGATTGCAACTCCCCCCCACCCAGTTGGTACCTATCTGACCAGGGGGTAAAATTCCCTCCCGACCCCAAATAAAAGGAGTGGTTTCATGCTGAGCAGAGGGGCAAGATCCTGTAGCCAGAAACCTCTGGGTTTAAGTCCCAGCAGGAGCATTGGCACAGCCCAGTCACAACCCAATGCCTCTAATGTTGGCTTAAACAAAAAATCCTGACATGTAGCAGAAAGGGGGGGGTGTGCATGCAACCATTGCAACCTGCTCCTGGGAGCCTGCGTGGGGACAGCAGCAGAGGCTCCTCAGGGTGGTTCGAAGCACCAGGCTCAGTTGCCTGCTGATCTGCAAAATTAAGGGTAGCTGAACCCTGCAGCTCAACACGAAGCAGAAGTTAGTTGCTTATTCCAAGTTTCTGATTTCTTTTTCAATTCTTCAGCATTTCTAATTCATTACCTTTGTCCTGGATCTTGGTATACTATGCATGAGAGGTCACTATGACTATCTGCAAGTACGCCTAGGCTGGAGCATGGAGGAGTGGAGGCTGCCAGTGCCAAGACCTTCCACCAACCCCCCACCGTTAGACAGTATCCAAAACCCAGACCAAGTCCAGACATTTGGTGCCTCAATGGCTGTCATTATGTACATATCCGGGAATAGAACCTGGGTCACATCTACACAAGGCACTAACTATAGAGTTACCTAATTAAATCCACAGTAAATTGTCTCCGTCCACCCATCCGAAGCTATTAGATGGGAGTAAACTAATTAACTCCGCTGTAATTTGGTACTGCTTGATACAAGTACTAGCCTACTGCGGAGTCACTAAATCCATTGCGATGCATGTGTAGAGGCTGCCTGGGGCTGGCTGGGGCATGAGGGTGCTACAGTGTCGGGGCTGCCTGCCAGCCGGCCCTGCACTGGAGCACCCTCATTCCCCAGCCAGCCCCTACGCAGCACGGTGAGCCAGGTTGGGGCAGCCCTGGGCTGGCAGGCTGACCCCCGGGGCCCTTGCCAGCCAGGACTACTCCACCCTAGCACAATGTGCTGCAGTCCCAGGTGCACATGAAGACGTTGCACACAGGAGCAATAAACTTGGGTGCAAACTGCACTGGAGTTTATTCAGCCAGGCTAATTTCATATGTAGATGAATCCCGTGTTTGGAAAAGATTAAAAAAAGGAATGAAGAACAAGAAACCAACTTCAGCCTCTTTGGCTCAGCCCAGCTGAGGTGCCTGCACGTCTACTGAGCCATCTGCACGTGGCTGCAGAAAAGCAGCCCGGCCCTTGCAGCATGAGGGGGCTGATAAGTAACTTGGGAGCAGCCTCCCGACACGGGGCACAGCCTGCGGCAGACGCTGCAGCAAGGTAATGGCAGCCTGGCCTGCAGAGGGGCCAGCGCTGTCAGCCTCAACTCACCCTGGTAACCTTCACAGTAAATGCCTGAGCGTTTCTCTCTCGTATTTTTTTTGCTGGATGCTCTGCCCACTTGGGAAGGGATATCCAGGGGGTAGGGAAGGATCTGGAGTCAGACTGCTTGATGTGCACTGGTCATGCTTACTTCTGCTAATACCTGTCTCAACCTAAATGCCTAGCGGACTCTTAGGAGAAAAGGTGTCTCTGTTAGAAACATACTTGCAGGGAGCAGATGCTCCAGGCACGTACAGGTCACCTGTAGCGAAGGGAGTCCTCTCTCAGTCCAGGGCCAGTGTCCTTCCTGATGGTCTGAACGCACAAAGCAGACCAATCCCAAGCCTCCCAGCCCAGAGAGGTGAGGATGAGAGAGGAGTGAAGGGGCAGGAGGACGGGGCGGCTCAGGGAGGCCAGAGGCTTGCAAGCCTTTATCTGAGGCCAGCGTGGGGCTGCTGTCACGGAGGTGAGGTGGGCACCCTCGTACCCCTAGGTGTGGTGTGGCTGCTCTTTGACCTGGAAGGGCCGTGTGCTGCATCCGGACAGCAGCCAGGAAAGGGAAGGCCTCCCTTGCCTAAGGGGCACTGTCAGGTTTTCCTGGAGGGGTTCCCCACAGGAGGGCTTCCTGCCTGGAGGGTGCCAGGGACTTACTGGAAGGCTGCCTCCACCCGCTTCCTTCACGCAGGGGCTAGGAGGGGGATTACCAGGAGCAGGCAGCTTATTTGTAACTTCTCAGTTCTTATCTGGTAAGCACAGCCCTTCAGCTCTCTTCAGCAGGGACAGCCCAGCTGAGCCTGCCACGGACCCAGGCAGTCACCGTCGAGGGGAGACAGCCCCGCTGAGCCTGCCGCAGACCCTCACAGCACGTGGACAGGATGGGGAACTGCTACACTCTGGTGAGTCCAAGGCCTCCAACCCCGGCTCCCTCTTGTAGAGCAGACCCTGCTCCCTCTTGTATAGCAGACCCTGCTGCAGGGCTGCACGGGGCTGGCCATGACAGGCAGGGGCCGCCCCAGCCGCCCCCCAACAACAAGGATCTGCCCTGTAGAAAGATGCTCTGCCCCTGGGCTGTGGTGGGCATGTGCCAGCCCTCTTGCTTCCTGAGCCCCGGGACCCCAGTGAGGCGTGCACAAGCTCCCAGCAAGGGCACTGCCACCGCAGGCATTTCACAGCCTCAGGCAGTGAATGGCCCACGAGCGAGGCTGCCTGGTGGCATCTCCTGCTCCTCCAGAGCGTCAGGCTTAGCCGACTCACCCTGGACAGCAGGAGGTGGAGCGCTCAGGTCCCTGCCCACCCCATGGCCACTGTGTGCAGCCCCCTGCGCCCAGCATGCTGGAGTAGAGGGGCTGGGCTCTGTGTTGCAGGGCCTCTTGCCTCGCCCCTGGGCCACGTGCCAGCAGCAGCAGTAGGACCAAGTCCACGTGCTGTGGCCATGGGGAGCTGACGCTTCACAGGCAGGATTGAGGGGGTCTACCTGGGCTTTATGTCCTAGAAATCATAGAATCACAGAGAAGAGGGGCTAGAAAGGACTGCCAGAGCTTGTCTAATCCAACCCCTCCCTGAGGCAGCATCATCCCTATCCAAACCATCCCATACAACTATAATCCAAACTCTGCAGAAGACTGCCATCAGCCCTGATACAACACATCACACTTGAACCTGCCTCAGGTAAAGTAAGAGGACCACATCCTCCTACACAAGTTGTTATATATTTGAGAGATCCCAGGTAGAGGGCCATACCCCACCCCTACTACAGATGAAGGCAATCCTCCCCCCGAGTCTGTACCAAACTGACCATGGGGTAAAATTCCTTCCTGTCCCCAAACAGGGCATTGGTGTGACTGAGCAGAGGAATGAGACCCTCTGGCCAGGAACCTCCAGCTTCAGGTCTCAGCAAGAGCATTGGCACAGCTCAGTCAAAGTCCCCAGGTCTGGTTAGAGCCAGTACCTAGTGCCCCTAAGGAAGGCTTAAAAAACCCCTGACATGTAATAGCAGGGTAGCAGGTTAGGCGTGAGGGATGGGATACCCTCCCAGCCCCATTTGGCAGCCAGCAAAGCCCAAAGCCTGGGAAATCCCCGTGGCAGAACACAGGCATCACTGCACCTAGGTCATCCCCGATCTCTCCTTGAACACCCCCAGGGATGGAGAGTCCACCACCACCCTGTCCTAACAGCGCCGTCTTGCAGAGGTTGCGTTTGGCTGCAGTCGCTCTGCTGTGGGAGAAGGGACGCCAGGAGCCTTTAATCTCCCTGAAGCAGGAATTTCCCAGCTCCTGCCTCCGCCCCTAGGTCTTGGCTCTCTGGCCGCAGGGAGCTCTGACTGCCCGCCAGGCCCTTCACTGTTCCTGGATTATTTTGTCTTCAGCCCCCCCTCGTCCTCTCTCTCCCTGCCCGCACAGCCCGGCATCCAGGCAAGAACGAGGGCCTGCTTCGTGCTGGGAAGTGCAGCTTGTTGTTTAGACAGTGTGTAATGAGGGAGGCCTTGCCAAGCCATTGTTTGCATCAGGATCCCAGCACTTCTTCCAAAAAAAATTCTCCCCAAGGGAATTTCTGATTGCCTGGCGGCTGCCAGCCCCTGATATGCTCCAGCCCTCTGATAGTCTGCCTCCTGATATGCTCCAGCCCTCTGATACGCTCCAGCTCTCTGATAGTCTGCCTGGCAGGCTCGCGCCTGGCTTGTGAGCTCCCAGATGCTGCTTGAGCTGCCCTGCCCTGCCTGGCTGGGGGGTGCCTGGGTTGTGGCTGCAGTGAGATTTCATTGAAAACTAAAGGAGAGTCTGGCCCTTGTCACAGGTGGGAGGCCCCTGCCGCCGCCAAAAGCCATCTGGACGTGGCATTTCCAGAAAGCAATTTCTGCTTGCTAAGGCAGAGGATGCTGCAAACAAAGACCACCCCTCCTGAGCAGGCAGCGAAGTGCGCGCAGTCGGGCTGGTCTCAGTCACAGCTGTAATGGCCCTGCTCTGGCCTGGCACAGCCCACAGCCCAGCACTGTCCCACCGCACGTGGCCTGTGGCCCACAGCCCTTCCTCCAGGTCACAAGTGTGCTGCCTGGAGCAAGCCCCCAGCCCTGCCCACCACAGCTCAGCGGTCTCAGCAGCTTACACTCCCCCGCTCTGCACCTGACCACCGTCCTTCCTCCTCCCCATGCTCCCTGCACCCCCTGAAAGCCTCCCGCAGCCCCTGTGGTCCCCTGCAGATGGGGGTCACTGCCCCACCTCCAGGGACCAGCCCTGAGCTCTCCCCAGCCCGGTGCATCCTGGCCCAGGGGCCAGCACTCACACATGTGAGGGGGGAGGTCCGGGGGGCAGAGACTCCCTGGGCCACATCCTGTTCCCAGCTCCTTGCAGTAGGCAGGACACAAGGGCACAGTCCCTCCCACAGCTCAGGCAGTGTCTACCCCACTCACCAAGTATAAGAGGGGTCCCAGGTGGTGCCTGGGGCAGTGGGCCCAGCTGAGTAACCAGAGGCATGTGGCAGTGCGAGGGCGGGGCTGGGCACATCTGAGCTGCAGCCTCCTCTGAGCGTGGCTGGGGACCAGAGAGATGGCACAGTCGGGGTCCTGCTGCATGCCATGAGCCCTGGCCAGGGAAAGGATAAGGCCAAGGCCAAACCCCTGCCTTGCCAATGTGGCGCAAGCCATGCCAGGGTCCACAGCCCAGGAGACACCTGTCTGCCACACACAACTCCTCGGCCCAGCGGCCACAGGCCCAGGCACAGCGGGGTCCACAGCAGGCAGCTGCTCATGTGGGCCATGGGGGAAGCCGCCCCACTGCCTGCTGTGCCACACTGCTGGTGCCCTCTGCCCCAGGGATCCAGAACACATTTGCCCCCTGCTAGCCAGGCCTGCCCCCATCCAGACAAGCACAAGTGCCCTTGCCTGAATGTGGCAGGAGAAGCCTGAATTCAAAGTTAACCGTAAAGAGCTGGAAATTTGGCTGCCAGTAGGAGCTCCTGTCCCTGCTCTTGCCCTTGCCCCAGCCCCTGCCCCTGCCCTTGCCCTTAACCCCTTCCCTTGCCCCTGCCTCTGAGTGAAGATTTGTTTGCAGCTTCGCTCTGCCTAACCAAGCTTATGTTCTGGGAACAACAGTCAGTAAGTGCCTCTGCCCCCCATGGGCAGGAACAGGCCCAGGCAGTGTTGAGCGCCAAGGGATGCAGCTCCTGGGATAGTGCAGCCTAAGAGGGGCGGACCAGGAGCATCCCGGTGGCACAGAAGCAGCAAGACAGAGAAGGACCTTTCCTACATGGGACCTTTGCTGGAATCCCAAAGATGCCACAGAGAGAACGGGTGAACCGTGGGTCGTTAGAGCAAGGCACCGCCAGGACCCAGCCAAGGTCGCTGGTAGGGCTGACGTGCCACATCTGGCCTGTGTCAGGTGGCCACGGGTCTTCATCAAGTAGGCCATCAAAAGCAGCAAAGTCACACGGAGAGCATTCACTGTCCATTGCATTGCACTGCCCTGGAGTCAGGCGCCAGCTGCCCACCCTGGCAGAGCCCTGCCTGTGCCCATGGGCATGGGACTCAGGGCACTGCTGACCCATCTGGAGATGACTTCTTGGGCCCTCAGTGCAGACCTCAACTCCAGACACAGCACCCCAAGCCTGAGGCTGCCTGACTGCCCTCCCTGCTGGCCAGACGGCAGCGTCCTTCTCCCTCACACTCGGAGAACGCTCTCCAGCAGCCGTGCTGGGCATGCTGCACAGAATGGGTCTGTGCAGGCACAGGTGGGACGAGGCAGCCACCCTGGCTCCACAGCAGCGAGCTCAGGGATGGTCTGTGCAAAGCAGACGGGTCAGGAATTGCCCATCAGAAGGATGTGAGAGAGCAGAGCTCCTGCAAACAAAAACTTCCCAGCAGAGTATTTGGACTTTGTCAAAAAAGTGATTTTCCCTTGGGAACATCCAAGGGGACCAGAACATTTGTGCCAGTCCCTGCCCAGTCCCAGCTCCAGATAACCCACCACGGTCTCTGCCTCTTTCCAGCCGTGCCAGCCTGTGGACGTTGTGGTTTCCCAGGCTGTGGGGTCGGGTCCCTGACCCTCCCACGAGACAACGCCTACTCAGCAGTCGAGAAGGGAATATCTGGCTCCCAGCCGATGTCTCTTGGGAGCTGATGCAAGGCTCCAGGATAAGGGACTTGACTGTCCAGATGTTTTAAAGCCATGTGCTTGGGGTCACTGCAACAAATAGAAAAGCAACATTTCAGATCCCCGGCCGGAGCTGCATCTGCAATAACAACACAAAAGCAAACATGCTGGGGCAGGGGTGTCCAACACAGGGCCAGATCCAGCCTGTGAAGCAGTGTTGCCCTGTCTGTGCGGCTCCTGGAGGGGATGGGATTTGGGGGCAGGGAGAGCAGGGGCAGGGCTGAGCCTTATGGGACATGTGTCTGTGGCAGCAAGGTGAGCGTGAGCGCCGGTGGCTCCTTGTTGCCACTCTCTGCCACCACTGCTCTCCTCACCATTGGAGGTGGGGGTGTATTCTGCCCATGAGGTGCCCAGGGGTCTGGATCCCCTCTGGGAGCTAAGTGAGTTTGACTCCCTGCACAAGGGCATTTCCAAAAGGGCATTTTGGAATTTCCCACAAGGCTTGAACCCCAAGCGTCGCTCAGCTCTGGCAGGCAGAGCCCACCCCCTGAAACTCTCTGGCCTCCTGGGCCCTGCCCAGCTAGGGCAGTGGCATGGGAGCGGGGCATGTGGGTGATACAGGCAACTTGCTGAGCTGCCCCCTCCCTCACTCAGGCACTCACTTGTCTCCTCCATGGGGAGCGGGGCTGAGACACCGGCTCCTTGCTACAGCCATCTCACCCAGCAGGACACAGGGCTGGGCTGGGCCATGCAGCCGGTGGCTGGGAAACACTCTGCCAGCAGTAGGGCTGACGACAGTGGGACTAGCGTGGCCTGGCCAGGGCCTGATGTGCAAGTGCAATGTACTGAGAGCTGACCCCAGCCTGGAGAGGGAAGAGCTGAGGGGCTCTGCCGGGGGGGTGCTGGGCTCAGTCTGGGCACTGGAGAGGGCACAGAGCAAACTCTTCATCATGCTTCTTTTTTCCAGGATAACACCACCCACACGAGCATCAGCTCATCTGATCTGAGGAACCTGAGCCTGTTACTACTGAATGCCTCTGAATATTATGACGATGACTACAACGCATGGGACTACGAGAACTATACTGATTTCTCCTCACCCTGCTACAGCTACTTCTGCCCGTTCCTCAGCAGAGCTGGCCCCCCGTTCCTCGCCACCGCCTCTGCCCTGGCCCTGCTGAGCAACCTGGCTGCAGGGGTGGCCCTGGCCATGTACCCTCGGGTGTGGGGCGACCCCCCACGCAGGGCCCTCGCATGCCAGCTGACACTCAGCACTGCCATCTTTGCAGCCCTGCTGCCCTTCTTCACCGTGGGCATCAGCCAGGGCTGGGTCTTTGGCATCAATTTCTGCCAGTTGGCATACATGCTGTGGCACAGCAGCCTCTTTGCCCAAGGGCATCTGGTGGCCAGCAGCACAGCCAGTACCCTGTGGGACAAGCAGGGCCCCTGGAGCAGTGGAGTAGCCACAGCACTCTGGCTGGTCGCCCTCCTCCTGGCCACACCAGCCGCCATGCTCAGCAATGTGCTGGGGGACACGCATATGTCCTGTGTCCTTCGAACCAACAGTCTGTCACCGCTGTACGTGGCCCATGTCACCATCTGCTTGGCCATCTTCATCCTGCTCCCGGTCATGCTGGGCCTGGCCAAGGTGGCCCTGAAGTGGTGCTGGAGCAGCTGGGCACCAAGGGTCAGCCTGGCCTGGGTGTTCTTCCTCCTCTGGACCCCCTACACCATGGCCCTGCTCCTGGACTTCCTCCAGAACAGGCAGCTGCTGGCGCCCACCTGCGCCTTCCGGGAGGGCCTGAACTTCTTCCTGGGAGTGTCCCAGGGCCTGGGGGTGCTGCACTGCTGCCTGGGGCCCCTGCTGCTGCTGGGGGCAGGGCTCTGCCAGCGGGTGTGACACCGCCATGTGCCACTGGTGCACATGAGCAGGCTGGGGGGGTCTGTCCTGGGCCAGAGGAGCTGGGGCAGCAACCACCCCTGGGGACTGGGCCCTCTCACTAGGCTGTGCAGCCTGCCCTGGGAAGGGCCAGGGCCCCTGCAGCCCTGCCCCAGGCTCTGACTTAAGGGTTGCTTCTGCCTCCAGCCCATCCCAGTCCCATTGCTCTCCATGGAGGTTAGGCTCAGCTCCAGCCAGCTCCTATCACAGCCCTTGTGCATGATGGCAAGGGATGCCCTTCTTCCCCCTAAATTGTTGCTGCTGCGACCATCCCCAGCTCCTTGCCCTGGTCGTCCCTTTCCCCCTGCTCTGCAGCCGGCTGCACTATGTACTATCGCTCTCCCAGCCTGCACAGCTGAGTTGCACTGACCAGTAGCTCCTGCCTGGTCCCCAGCCCTCGACCATTGCCCTGCCAAGAGCCAGACCTTCCCAGAGGCACCTTCACACCCCTGCCCCCTTCAGCTATGCAGCAGGGGCTGAGCAGCTTTTGTACAGCTCTGGCAAAGCCGCTGCAATCTCTGCCTTTCAGCCTCTCCTTCCCCGCAGCTACTCCATGCTCCCTGCAGGCCTGGGATGCCAGCCTGGCCATGGGCAGCTGTGATTGCCCCTTGTCCTGTTCCTGGTCATCTCTGTCACTCGGCACCCGC